TGAAACCCGTGGGGCAACACGTGAGGAAGAGGAGAATGAGGAGAAGAAGGAAAATGGAGGAGGAGGAGGAAAACTGAAGTGCCAAGGAGGAAGAGTCGACCTCTTGGAAGCCTCTTGGGGCACTCTGGGAGCTTCCTGGGAGCGTCTTGGAAGCCTCGTGGGGGTCCTCTTCGGCCTCTTGGGGTCCTTTGGGGGCTTGTTCGGGGCCTCTTTGGCCGTCTTCGGGTGTTTCTGGGTCGTCGGGAGCCGTCTTGGAGGCCTCTCTGGACTGCCTTTGGGCCCTCTTGGGGTGCTTCAGGGCCGTCTTGGACGCCATCTTGACCGTCATGGTGGCCTCTTGGGCCTTCTTGGGCGTCCCTCTGCCTCTGGGCCGTCTTGGGAGCTTCTTGGGCCATCTTGGAGCCATCTTGGAAGCCTCTTGGGCGCTCTGGGGACGATCTTGGCGGCTGCTTGGGCCGTCGGAAGGCCGTTGGAAGGCCGAGAAGAAGCGAATGGCAACATCCTTCAAGCACCACAAAGGACAACAAGTGGCACGCGTGCCCTGGCTCTTGCACCAAGGAGCCGCGAGAGACAGGAGGCTTTCGCCTCCTTCCTCCAGGAGTTTACTTTTGTGGCCGTAGGGGGGAGGACGACGACGAACGAACGAACGACGACGACGAGCGAAAATAAAGAGGTCCGAACTCTAGAGCACAGCTGTGCAAGAGAATAAAGGCTTCGGCGGCCCAGGGGGGCTGCCCTGGGAGGCCCGTGGGCAGGAGGGGACCAGGGCCCAGGGAAGCAGGGGCAGGCCAGCGGGTGATTCTGGGAGGCTCGGGGGAGGGGGGGGTCCAGGGCCCGAGGTGGCCAGGGAGGGCGACGAACCACGAACGAACGAACCACGAAAATAAAGGCTTCGGCGGCCCAGGGGGGCTGCCCTGGGAGGCTCGGGGGAAGGAGGGGTCCAGGGCCCAGGGAAGCAGGGGCAGGCCAGCGGGTGATCCTGGGAGGCCCGGGGGAGGGGGGGGTCCAGGGCCCGAGAGGGCCAGGGAGGACGACGAACCACGAACGAACGAACCACGAAAATAAAGGCTTCGGCGGCCCAGGGGGGCTGCCCTGGGAGGCTCGGGGGAAGGAGGGGTCGAGGGCTGAGGCAAGCAGGGGCAGGCCAGCGGTGATCCTGAGAGGCCCGGGGGAGGGGGGGGTCCAGGGCCCGAGAGGGCCAGGGAGGACGACGAACCACGAACGAACGAACCACGAAAATAAAGGCTTCGGCGGCCCAGGGGGGCTGCCCTGGGAGGCCCGTGGGCAGGAGGGGTCGAGGGCCCAGGGAAGCAGGGGCAGGCCAGCGGGTGATTCTGGGAGGCTCGGGGGAGGGGGGGTCCAGGGCCCGAGGTGGCCAGGGAGGACGACGAACCACGAACGAACGAACCACGAAAATAAAGGCTTCGGCGGCCCAGGGGGGCTGCCCTGGGAGGCTCGGGGGAAGGAGGGGTCGAGGGCTGAGGCAAGCAGGGGCAGGCCAGCGGGTGATCCTGAGAGGCCCTGGGGGAGGGGGGGGTCCAGGGCCCGAGAGGGCCAGGGAGGACGACGAACCACGAACGAACGAACCACGAAAATAAAGGCTTCGGCGGCCCAGGGGGGCTGCCCTGGGAGGCCAGTGGGGAGGCCCCAGGGAAGCAGGGCAGGCCAGCGGGTGATTCTGGGAACCCCGAGGGGGGTGCAGGGCCCGAGGTGGCCAGGGGCAGGCCAGCGGGTGATTCTGGGAGGCTCGGGGGAGGGAGGGGTCCAGGGCCCGAGAGGGCCAGGGAGGACGACGAACCACGAACGAACGAACCACGAAAATAAAGAGGTCCGAGCTCTAGAGCACAGCTGTGCAAGAGAATTAATGATTCTGGCCTCCTCGGGCCCTCCTGGAGGACCTCTTGGAGGCCTCTTGGGCCGTCTGGGAGGCCTTTGGGGGGCCTCTTGGGCCCTCTTTGTTTCCGTCTCGGAGGCTCTGTGGGCTCTCTGGGGCCGTATTGGAAGCCCTCTTGCCCCATCCTGGACGACCATGGAGGCCATCTTGGAGGCCATCTTGGAGGCCATCGGGAGCCATCCTGGAGCCGTCCGGACCGAGAAACCTTTGCAGCCGAGTCTTCCGCAGGACCGGCGCGCGCGCTGGGCCGGAGCCCCAGAGGAAAGGTCTTGGTGAAAAGGATCAAAGCCAAGCCAGTGGGGTTCAGCACGCCAGGCACCCCCTGTGGCAATGCCACAGGGGGCGGCGGATCGAAGACGCCTGCATCGAATCGCCGCCGCCCCCCTGCCTTTTTGGAAGCACCTGTGTGGCCGACAGTTGGGCTAGAGCTTGGCCAAGCTATCGGACCATGTGTTCCCCCACCCGTCGTTGAAACCCTTCGGGCAACACGTGAAGAAAAGGAGAATGAGGAGAAGAAGGGAAATGGAGGAGGAGGAGGAGGAGGAAAAGAAGTGTCAAGGAGGCGGAGTAGACCTCTTGGGAGCCTCTTGGGACACTCTTGGGGTCTCGTGGGAGCTTCCCGGGAGCCTCTTGTTGGGCTCGAGGGGGTCTCCTTCGACCTCTTGGGGGTCTTTGGGGGCTTGTTCGGGGCCTCTTTGGCCGTCATCGGGCGTTCCTGGGCGGGGCCGAGGGTTCGAAATGTCCGTTCGGGTTTTCAATCTGGGCCTTCTCTTGGGGCCCTCTTGGGCGCCTGTTGGGCCGTCTTTGGGCTCTCTTGGGCCCTCATGGGGGCCTCTGGGGCCGTCTTGGGGCGATTTTGTTCGGGGCCTCATGGGCCGTCTATGTAGCGTCGGAAAGCAGAGAAAAGGCGAGAAGGTCAAAACCCTTCAGAAACCGCAGGATGATCAATAATTTGCGCCTCTTGGGGCCCTCGTGGGACGCCACTTGGGGACGTCTTCGGGGCCTCTTGGTCGGGCGAAGAGAACTATGCACATGCACCGATCCTGGCAAGGCCCATCCTTGAGCCAGGATCGGTGCATATGTCTTCCTGGCCAAGGTAGGAGGGCGTATGCACCGATCCTGGGCTCAGGATGGGCCTGGCCAGAATCGGTGTATGTGCATAGTTTTTTTTTTTCCTCTACTTGGGTCGTGTTGAGACCATCTTGGGCGTGTCGGGGCACTCTTGGGCCTCCACCGGGCGCTCCTCGGGCCCAAGTGTTGGCAGGCTGCGCCACCGAAGGCCGCGCGCGCTGCGCCCGGGGAATCCCAGGGGATCGCCGGAAATCCTGGGCGCTCCCCGGAAATGCCAGGGAATCCGCGGGAATCCCGGGGAATCCGAGGGAATCCCCAGAAATCATTGTGAATCGGGGGCGGCAAAGAGGGGGGTGATGACTAGGGGGGGGTGGATATCATGGCGGGGGCCATGATTTTTCCGCAGATTTCATGGCGCCTCTTCTTATTTCAATACGTCCCCGGCCCCCCCATGGGCCGCGCACATGCCGCCGGCCATGATTTGCACCCCCCCCTCTTGGACACCTCCCTCCTGACCGCTCCCGAGAAGCAGGTGGGCTCTACAATTCTGAATGTCTCAGGGCTGCATAAGCCTTGGGGCACTCCACTACGTGCTGCAGGCACGATGGCGGATTCGGACGCCTGGAGACGGGGGCCACTGCAAACGGGGGTCACCCAGAGCGCCAGATCTGCCAGGATCCTGCAGAACCGTAGGGCTGCACTGACCCGGGCTAGCGTGCAGGATCCTGCATCGGGGCTCAAGAGACGGGGGTCAATGCAAACGTGGGTCAGTCAGAGCGCCGGATCTGCCAGGATCCTGCAGAGCCGTAGAGTTGCACTGACCCGGGTTAGCTCAGCCACGCGCCGAGGGGGGTGTGGGGAGGGGGGAGGGCTTCTTAGAAGCACCCCTGCTTCATAGAATGCGCGGGCCTTATCTATAGATGCAAGGCCGGCACCTTCTGAGGAGCAGCCTCCTTCTAAGAAGCCATCCCCCCTCCCTCCACCCCCTTGTGCCCGCCGCCAATTAGCGTGCAGGATCCTGCAGGATCCCGTTGAGCTTGACCGACCCGAGCCTGCATGGGCCAGGGTCAAAGAAAGCCCGACCGTATATATCCCTTACAGTCAACCCGCATGGTGAGGATGAGCGAATTTCCAGGGCTACCCTTGCATCCTCCCCCTTCGGCCTATCCTTGGCCGCTTTCGCTATAAATCCGACGACGCCTTCACGTCGAAGGTGATCAGCCCACCGAGGTATACAGCCTCCCGTATCGCGCTAATGGGTCTGACATCAGGTCGTGTGATAATCATCCTTGTCGAGGTTTGCATGTGTATCGTTTTATCCCAATTTAGCTCCAATCCGTACTTTTTGCCCTCCTCGACGATGGCGTTCAGAATGAATTGCAAGTTGTCTTGGTACTGTGAGGCCAACAGAGTATCTCGGGTGCTGAGCGAATTTCCAAGGCTACTACCCTTGCATACTCATCCTTCGGCCTATCCTTGGCCGCTTTCTCTGGCCGCGCCCCGCTCGCAAAGTGTCGACATGGCCTTCCAGGGCCCTTGCATCCTGATCGCGCGCCCTTCTCATACGTGTTCGCTGTACTTCGCGGGGGCAACGACAGGGGGGATCGGCACAGGGGGGGATGCATCGACCCCCAATCGCCCATCGACCGCCGATCGGCGCCAACCTGCCCAAGAGCGCGCGGATTCACGATCTGGGGCCCATCGCCGATCTATCGGCGCGGTATTGCCGATTCCTGGTCGACGTCCCCCCTCCTGTGCCAGTCCCTCCACCTATCGCTGCCCCTCAAAACATCCCGCCCCGCAGTCGCCCTCGGGGCGCGGCCGTCGCCCCAGCGCCGCGCGCATGCGCCCGTAGAGCCCGTAGAGAGAGAGAGAGGGGAGGAGGAGGAGGAGGAGGAGGAGGAGGAGGAGGAGGAGGAGGAGGAGGAGGAGGAGGAGGTGGAGGAGGAGGAGGAGCTGGCGGCGGAGGAGGAGGAGGAGGAGAGGGAGGAGGAGAGGGAGGAGGGGGGCGCCGTCTTGGTCGTGCACCGCTCAGGCCCCGCTCATGACCCTGGCGGTCGCCACCGCGGGGCAGCTGGGCCTGAAGTTCGTGTTCGCCAACGTGGTGGAGGCGACGGGAGGAGGAGGAGGAGGAGGAGGAGGAGGAGGAGGAGGAGGAGGAGGAGGATATACCCATATTAGAAGGATACATACATATACACACCCATATTAGGAGGAGGAGGAGGAGGAAGAGGAGGAGGATACACCCATATTAAGAGGTGGAGGCGACGAAACGGGGATGACGTTTTGCGTTGCATATTTTGGGGACCTCGCCTGTCCCCAGAGCTTGTGTCGTTTCTTGTGCCCGACGCGGGCCCGATGCGGACTCGACGCGGATTCGGCGTGGGCTCGACGTGGATTCGACACAGATTCGACACGGATTCGACGAGTCCGACACGGATTCGTTGCGGATAGGGCCGCGACGGGACAGGCAAGGTCCCCAGAGGATGCAACATAAGATGTAGAGGGAGGAGGAGGAGGAGGGGGAGGAAGAAGAAGAAGAAGAAGCGGGAATAATAATCATATTAACAGGGAAGAGTAATAATAATAATAATAGTCAGACGAAGAAGAAGATGAGGAGGAGGAGGAGGGCGAGAAGCTCTTGAGCGCGTGCGGCTCTCTGGCTCCTTGATGGGGAGTTTCAGGGCGTCGGTCTGTTCGGATGTTTGTCGGGTTCGTGAAGTGGGCGTGTCTATGTGTGCGTGTGAGAGAGAGAGAGAGAGCGAGAGAGAAAAAAAGAGAGAGAGAGAGAGAAAGAGGCGACGGGCGAGGAGGTGTTCGAGCCGAGGGAGAGAGAGAGAGGTCCAGGCCTGAGGGGGGAGCAGGACGACAACAACGGCGGCGGCGGCGAGGGCGACGACGTGGAAGCATCTTGGGGTCTCTTCGGAAGGCTCGAAGGCTCTCGGGGGACAAGTTCGCGTGCCTTCGCGCATCTCCGTGCACATTTCTCATACGCTTGCCCACACCCACCACGTTCTGGTGGAGGCCGCCTCCTCCGCGAGGCCCAGACGGGGGGTGGCCCGGCGAGGCCCCGGCGCCCCCCCCCCCCGCGTTTCTTCGGCCCCTCCCGGGCCTCCCCCGGGGGACTTCGCGTCGCCGCGGCGGGGTCCGCTTCGAGGAGGGGTGCGTCTGCGGTGGAGGGCCAAGTCGGCCGTCTGCCTGAAGACCATCATCTCGAGCCTGTGCCAAATGCTTGGCATCGCTCGGACGTGTGCATGTTTCCTTCGGCGAGGACCATCGAGGAGCATCCTTGATCATTTGGCGAAAAAACCAGGCACGAAACCGGAAAAAAACACAGGAAATGGACGTCCGAGCGATGGCCAGAATGCCGCTCTCGCGTGCTAACCACAAGCGTCTATGGACCAACCGGGTGCCGTTGCGTAGATAGGCACAGTCCGGGTGGATGCGTCCATAGACAACGCGGCCGTTGCGTTCGGCGCAGTATCAGCTCGGAGAAAGGGCACATCCGTCTACGATATGTTCCTGCTCTAGAGCAGGTCCAAAATAGAATTTCCAACATATACGGTAGGTTCATGCGGCGATGGCGCGTTCCCGACGCCGGCGATGGCGTTCAAGGTTGAATTCTGAACGATAGGACGACGCGGAAGCACCGAGGGACACGGTAACGCCATTGGACCCGACGAAATTCAATTTTGAATGATCGGGGCTGCGATCGGTTCAACGTTGACGCGCGCCGACGCCGCACGAATTGACGTAGATTCTGGTGGGATATAGATCAGCATCGTTTCACGGATCCTTATCCTCATCTCCATCTTCCTCTCGACCCCCATCATACCACCATTCTGGTCGGGGATGTACCCCATCGAAGCCCAAAGGAAACAGCTTACATCCCCACCTAGGGGGGTACATCGGCCAGGGGGGCCCAGGCCACGCCCACGGGGACAGGGGTCGGTCAGGCGATGCTCAGCAGATTTTGACCTGATTCGGGCGGAGCGGTGGGGTCTCATCTGGCCCCTGCTGGGGCGGAGGCGACCTCCTCCCCTCGCATGTGCTCGTCAGTTTCCATGCTGTCGAGTGTTCTCGGATGTTTTCCGGGCCCGGAGTGGTTCCCATCAGCCCCGCGTCGCCACGGGCGCTCCCAGGGTGCCAAGATCGCCCCGAGCGGCCGCCCTTGGCCAGGGCTTGGGCCCAGCAGCCAAGCAGGGCCCTCTGGTCCGACCGATCTGGTTTGATGTATGGGTCCACGGCGCACCGCCGCTCCTGCGGGGTGCTTTGGCTTCATGGGGCCGCTCGGGGAAATCTCGTGGCCTCTTCTGTTGGTTTGCCGGTGGCCTGCTGGCGGCCGCTCGGGGGGCTCTCGGGCGCTCTTGGGGTCGTCTTGGGGCCATCCTGGCTTCTTCTTGGGGACCTCTTGGGCCCCGCTTGGAGCTATGCTGCTCCCAGAGGGGAAGTCTGGCGCGCGACTGATCCAGAGGAGTCATTTCGCATTCGGGAGGGATTCCCTGGAACCCTCAGGGCTTTGGCGGACTCCAGGGAATCCAGAGGAGTCTGGAGGAAGCCACTGGAGTTCAAGGGGACCCCAAAGACACCCAGGAGGAATCCACTGGAACCTGGAGGAATCCTGGGGAATCTGAAGGAGGAAGAGGAGGAGGAGAAGGAGGGGGAGGGGGGGGGAGGGGGAGGGGAGGGGGAGGGGGGAGGGGGAGGGGAGGAGGAGGAGGAGGAGGAGGAGAGGAGGAGGAGGAGGAGGAGGAGGAGGAGGAGGAGGAGGAGGAGGAGGAGGAGGAGGAGGAGGAGGAGGAGGAGGAGGAGGAGGAGGAGGGGAGGAGGAGGGGGAGGAGTCGAGCGCAGGCCAAAGGAGCCCGGAGGAACCCGAAGGACTCCCCCCGAGGAGCTGCCGACGTTCCTCGGGGGCCCCCAAACGGGGTGGTGACCACACCATGTGGTGAGTCGGTGGGGATTCGGGGTCACTGCACAGTTTTGGGACTCGGGTCGTTCTCCGAGGACGTCTCGGGCGAATGGGGCATCCGAGGTCCCAAGACCGTGCGTTGACGGACCGTGCGGTGAGGTCTTGGGGGATTTCGAGGTCACCGCACGGTCTGTCACCGCACCGTTTCGGGACTCCAAACGGACCTGAAGCACGGTCTTTCAGGGGGCGCTTTGTAAGCTTCCCAGCAGCTCCGGAATGTGCCTTTTTTGGACACGCTCGGGGACGTTCCCCGGACCTGAAGCAAGGGCCTGTGTTCAGTCGGGCCTGTTCCTTACAGGAGGAATCTCCAAAATAGTAAAACAATGTTCGTTTTTTGTTGGTTTGAGCATTTTGTTGGCTATGGTTGAGTATGTTTTGAATCATGGTTGATTTGTCATCCAAAATCCCCCTGTGGGAGGCCGTGCCCGACCTGGGACTTGCGGCGTTAACGCATGAGGAGCCTTCAGGGTCAACGGTACGGAGGGACAGGCATAGGGGGGGATGCATCGACCCCCAATCGCCCATTAATCGCCGACTGGGGTCTGATAGCCCCAACCTGCCCAGGAACGTGCGGATTCACTATCGGGGGCCTATCGCCGATCTCTCGGCGATGTATCGCCGATTCCATGTCGATGTTTCCCCCCCCTATGCCTATCCCCCCCGTATCGTTGCCCCTGAAGCCTTGAGACAGGGGTCAATGCACACGGGGGTCAGCCAGACCGCCCAATGTTGCAGGATCCTACAGGGCCAGGGTCGCATTGACCTGGGTCTGGGTGCAGGATCCTGCAGGATCTTGCAGGATCCTTCGCATTGACCCGGGTTTGGGTGCAGGATCTTGCAGGATCTTGCAGGATTCTGCAGGGGCTGACTGACCCGGGTCTGGATTGACCCGGGTCAGAAGATCCCCGCTTCCTCCTCCTGGGATCAGGAGATCATTATCACGATATCTGTTGAACCGTTGGAGGTTGATAGACCTCCTACCCTGACACGTCGATGAGCGAATTTGCCGTTTTCGGTTCGCCAGAGGGTGTCGCGGCCGTCATTTTTGCGGGTCCAGGTCCGTCAGGTTCGGTCCTAGGATCCGCCGTTTTCACGAAAGGCTGGTTTACCAAAGGGAGGTTTGTCCACCGCCGAGGTCCAGACGTCCAGGACGTCCCAGATTTCCAGACAGACGTCCAGGACGCTCCAGAAACGAGCGCCGCTAGATATCCTGGAGATCTTGGAATGCACCCTGCGCCAATCGCACCATGACGCCATGCTGGTCTTGAGCCGGGCCTGTCCCTATACAGGAGGAGTAACCAAAAACCAGTCAAAGACTAGTCTGGGGACTTTTTTTTTGTATTTTTGAGCATCATTTGAATATGGTTGGAGTACGTTTACAGTCGGGGCCCTGAAGAAGGAACCCTTTTCGTTGGGGAGGGGCTCCGTGCTCCTTAATTGTTTCGCAGCTTGCCTCAGGTTTTCCTATATTTTCGATGGGAAATCGAAGGTTAACTTATGGAACAAAAGGGGCCTCGTTCCTTATGTAAGGTTCCTTAGGCCAACGCCCCGACTGTAGTTGTTAGCCCAAAATCCCCCTGAAGGGGGGCACGCCCGACCTGTACGCAGGCTGTGGCGGCGAGCGCCGCGGGAGCAGGCGAGCGAAGAAGGTATGGGCGGCAGGCAGAGGCCCTCCGTCGGGGGCGCGGAGGGAGCGCTCGCCACCGGCACCCGGTGGGAGAGGACTGACGACGAGACGACGCAGAGACCGGATGGTGCCTCCGCGTCCCCTTGTAGGGGGACAGGCCCTAATGTGGGCCATACCCTCCGCCCCTCGCTCTTGTCGATGTCGAGTGCATCTCCTCCCTGCCGCGCCACTCGCCGGGCGCGTCCTCCCTGCCGCGCCTCCGCGTCCCCCTGCAGGGGGACATCGGGGATGGAAAGACCTCCTACCCTGACACGTCGATCAAGGAATTGGCCGTTTTCGGTTCGCGAGAGGGCGTCGCGGCCGTCATTTTTGCGGGTCCAGGGGTCCGTCGGTTTCCGTCCCAGGATCCGCCTTCATTAAGGGGAGGTTTACTAAAGGGAGGTTTGTCCACCGCCGAGGACAGGCCCGCCCTAATGTTGGCCCTGCCCTTCGCCCCTCGCTCTCTGGTCGAGTGCATCTCCTTCCAGCCGCGCCACCCGCCGGGCGCGTCGGCGTAGGGCGGGCAGTGCCTCCTCCCCTGTCTTGCGAAGACGCCCAAGGCGATCACGCCTCCGCCCCCCCGCCCTTCCCCCACCACTCCCTCCGCCACTCCCTCCTCCTCCTCCTCCTCCTCCTCCTCCTCCACCTCCTCCTGCTCCTGCTCCTGCTCCTGCTTCTCCTGCTCCTCCTCCTGCTTCTCCTGCTCCTCCTGCTCCTGCTCCTGCTCCTCCTCCTCCTCCTCCTCCTCCTCCTCCTCCTCCTCCTCTGGATGGATGTGAGAAGACAACTGGACTGAGCTGTGGCCCCCCAGGGCGTTGCGACCAGGGAGTGGCCTGGCTGCCGCCTGGCTCTGCCGAGCGCTCCGAGCCACGCCCGTTGCGGAGGCTGCACGGAGGCGTCGCTCCGCTCCCCGTCCCCCCTGCCCCCCGCGGCGGCGCAGGTGAAGCTCGTGGAGGCAGACCAGCTGATGAAGGCCCCCCTCCTCGAGGACTCGAGGATGCGAGGATGCGAGGATTCGAGGATGCGAGGATTCGAGGATTCGAGGATGCGAGGATTCGAGGATTCGAGGGTTCGAGGGTTCGAGGATCGAGCTCCGCGGCTTCTTCCTCGAGCTCGGCCCCCCACGGGGTCCCGCGGCGGGCTGCGCAGGACCTCCGGAGACCGACCCGGCACGGGGATCGGGCCTGGCCCGACCCCGAGCGGGGCCCTTGGCATCGCTCGGACGTGTGTATTTTTCCTTCGGCGAGGACCATCGAGGAGCATTCTTGATCATCTGTCGAAAAAACCACGCACAAAACCAACAAACACAGGGAATGGACGTCCGAGCGATGGCGAGGGCCGGGGAACGACTTCGGGAGCCTGGAGACGGGGGGTCGGGGGCGGCAAAGAGGGGGGTGATGACTAGGGGGGGGGATGTCATGGCGGGGGCCATGATATCTCCCCCGATAGCATGGCGCCTCTTCTTGTTTCATTACGTCCCTGGCCCCCCCGCTGGGCCGCGCACATGCCGCCGGTCATGATTTGCACCCCCCCCCTCTTGGACACCCCCCTCTTGGCCGCTCCCGAGGGGGTCAATACAAACAGGGTCAGCCAGAACGCCCGATCTTGCAGGATCCTGCAGGGCTTGCGTCGCGCTGACCCGGGTCTGAGCTGCTTACATTGGAGGGGGAGGTGGCGGATGAGTGAGAGGATGAGCTGGAGTCAGAGGAGGAGGAGGAGGAGGAGCAGCAGAAGGAGCGGGAGGAGCAACACGACCAAGGGAGGGCGGGGGAGGGGAAATGAGCAGAGCGATATTCGGAACGGATTCGTACTCTGATAAGTGGCCAGTGCTGGGGCGATAGCGCAAATCTGAACGATTGGAGCAAAGCGCCGATCCTGAAATGAGGCCTACGATTTAGGGAGCACCATTCTGAGACAGCGAAAACGTTCCGATTGGAGACACATCAAGTACATTTCAATGTTTGGAAACATGGTCGCGATAGCACTATGCCGAGAGAGGGGGTCATCTTCCCTACGGAGCTAGACAAGGGGAGAGCAGCATTCATGTCGGGAAATTGCGGAGGGGGAGGAGGAGGTCGAGGAGAAGGAGGAGGAGGAGGAGGAGGAAGAGGAGGAAGAGGTCGAGGATGTTTGGATCTTATACCAAGGAGGAAGAGGAGGAGGAGGAGGAGGAGGAGGAGGAGGAAGAGGAGGAAGAGGTCGAGGAGGAGGAGGAGGAGGAGGAGGTCGAGGATGTTTGGGTCTTATACAAAGAGTCCAACACCACACACGCATGCATGTGCAGGGGCCGGCTGGAATCTCTCCAGTCGGCGCCGGACCTCGCTCCCCCTTGGTTTTTGGTCTGTGGCCGCTCGGCTCAAGCAGCCTTCGGGCGACGGGAAAAAGCGCCTCCGAGGCGAATTCGGCGCGCCCTCGGGCGTGCCCTCCTCCTCCTCCTCCTCCTCTCCCCCTCCCCCTCCTCCTCCCCCCCCCCCTCCCCCTCCTCCTCCTCCTCTCCTCCTCCTCCTCTCTCCTCCTCCTCCTCCTCCTCCTCCTCCTCCTCCTCCTCCTCCTCCTCCTCCTCCTCCTCCTCCCCCTCCTCCCCCCCGCCTCCTCCTCCTCCTCCTCCTCCTCCTCCTCCTCCTCCTCCTCCTCCTCCTCCTCCTCCTCCGCTCGACTCGGTTCGATTCGACTTCTCAGCCAGGGCTCGTTTCGACTTCTCCGATTCGAGTCGATTCGACTTCGCTGGATTCCGATTCCGATTCGACTCGAGTTCGTATTCTGATGTGTGCTCCGATTTCTTCTTGGACGCATACTAGCCTGCCGTTTTCCGCCGATTCGACTTTTCCCGACTCGGCTGCCGATTTCCGCCGATCCGATTCATGGCGATCGCCGATCCGATTTATCGATTCGATTCTGGGTTCTCCTGTCAGCAGGCGCGGCGAGTGGCGGAGGGGGCGCGGGGAAAGGGATACAGCGCTCAGACCATACAGCCCTCGTGCGCGAGTGCCGGAGGTGTGCACAGCGAAGTGCGAGTCTGAGCGGATCGGGAGGAAGAGGTGGAGAAAGGAGGCAGGAGGAGGACGAAGTAGGCACGGTCGCACCATATCTATACGATATCCTACCCCTCCCCGCCCATCCCGTCCGATTGCGCTGATTTGTTGTATCTGATCCAGGGTCCGGGCCCCCCCCGCCCCTCATGCTGATGCCATCGGGCCCGCCCCCCCCGCCCAGTGGACCCCCCCTGTGGGCGAGGCGTGGTGGGGTCTTCCCCTGTGGGCGTGCGGTGGTGGGTATGGAGTCCGGCTCTCCCTCCCCCCCATCACGGAGGAGGAGGAGAATGGAGGACGACGACGACGACGACGACGACGACGATGTCAGCGTCGGCATCGGAATCGGCACATTCATCGCCATCCTAGGTATGAGATCGTCGTCGTCGTCGTTGACGTCGGCGCCGTCGTCGTCGTCGTAATCGTCGTCGTCGTAATCGTCGTCGTCGTAATCGTCGTCGTCGTCGTCGTCGTCGTCGTCGTCGTCGTCGTCCCCACCCCATCCCATCTAGGGAGGGGGGGGCCCGAGGGACCCTGAGACCCATCCCATCTGAGGGGGGGCCCGTGGGCCCGGAGCCCAGGATCATATATCCGCCGGCGGGTGTCATAGCGGACCCGGAACTCCAAAAGAACCACCCCATTATCATTGTGTCATGCCCATTTCCGAGTGGACGTACTCGTACCGTTAGGTCGGACGCGTCCCCCTACAGGCGGATTTTGGACGAAAAACCATACCTACCCCTAAAATGCCCCAAAAAGAGTCAAACATGGTTTTAAAATGATCGACCCCATCTTATGTTTTGACTATTTTCGGGCATTCCCCCTGTAGAAGGACAGGCCCGACTTAGAATCGTACCTCGCTCCCCACACGCCTGACCGCGCCTCCTGCGCCGCCTCCCGGTGCGCTCCGCGTGCCGGGGGAGGGTGTTTGGAGGGGGTCGGCTACCCTATACCCGTCTGTCGCTGAATATAAGCATGTTTGGATTCCCAGGTCCCAGCCTACCGCCCCTCTCCGGAGTGTCTGCGTGTGCGTGGGTGTTTGCGCGTGTGTGTTTGTGCGTGTGTGTGTATGTGTGTGTATGTTTCCGTGTGTGTGTGTGCGTGTGTGTTTGCGTGTGTGGTCCGTATGTGTGTGTATGTGTGTGTGTGTGTGTGTGTCTGTGTGTGTGTTTGTGTTTGTGTGTGTTTGTGTGTGTTTGTGTGTGTGTGTGCGTGTTTGTGTGTGTGTTTGTGTGTGTTCCGTGCGTGTGTGTGTTTGTGTATGTGTGTGTGTGTGTTTGTGTGTTTGTGTGGTTTTGTGTATGTGTTTGTGCTTGTGTGTCCGTAGCCACTGGCTCAAGCCGCTCTGGCTCGAACTGGCCTCAGCGGCTGGCCGGCCGTGGCCGGGGGCCGCCCCGCGGTCCTCGGCCTCCCCGCCCGCGGGGGCGCACGAGGGGCTCGCCCCCCTCCGCGCCCCCGCTCGCTCTGCCATGGAGTCGCGCTCGGCGCGGCGGCGGCGGCAACGGCGCGCCGCCGCCTGCCGCGCCGCGGCGGCGGCTGGCCCGGCCGGCCTGCCGCCGCCTGGCTGCCTCGGCGTGGCCGGCGGTGCCGCCGCCGCGGCCGCCGCCGTCGCGGCGGCCGCCGCGGCTGTTGCGGCGGCCGGCCGCGGCGAGACCGCCGCGGCCGCCGCCTGCCGCACCGCCGCCGCGGCCGGCCCGGCCGGCCTGCTGCCGCCGCGGCCCGGCGCGGCCCCCGGCCTTTGCGTGGCTGGCGGCGCCGCCGCCGCGGCCGCCGCTGCCGCTGCGGCCGCCGCGGCTGTGGCGGCGGCGGGCCGCGGCGAGACCGCCGTGGCCGCCGGCGCTGTGGCGCGCGCCGCCGCCCTTGCCCTGGGGCCGGCCGCGGCGGCCGCTGCCGCCATGGGTGCGGCGGCCGCCGCCGTGGCCGCTGCGGCCGCTGGCGCTGCCGTTCCCGCTGCTGTCGGTGTTGCGGCCGACGCTGCGGCCGCCGCCGCCGCGGCCGCTGACGCCGCGGGCGAGGCGGCGCTGTACACTGGATCCCCGCTGCGCGCCTTCATGTTCGAGAGCGAGCTGGGCGTTCAGGTGCTGCAGGACGGGTTCGACGTCGCGGACGCGGAGGTGGAGGGGGACGGGACCGAGGACCCTGAGAAGAACAAGCGGTCCCTGAGCGTGGAGCTGGCCGAAGGACGCCTGCGGCCGGGAGGTGTCGCCCTCGAAGGGCCTGCGCGGTCGTCTGAGCTGGGCAGGTCTTCTGCTTCGGATCCGTTCCAGCAGCGGCGCCTCGCCGAGGACAGTCCGGGGCTGCCCAGATCGTCCCGAACGGCTGCCAGGGGCCCAAGTTACGTTACGAGGCGTCCGAGGGGCCTGAGCGTTCCTGGCAAGTTGTCTTCTCACAGCTTCGGAAAGGACGAGCCTTCAGCTCGAGAACCAGAGACTGACACATCGAGCAACCACAGAGGTGAAGAGTCTTTGGACAGTCGAGGTACAGCTCCTCCTTCCTGTCAGAGTGTGGCGCGAGCTCAAGCTATCACATTGCCTGTCGCCGGGACTGTCGGCCACCACCTCACCTCCCATTGCTCCCCCCTGACAACAGTTCCTCGAGGGCGCTATATGTTGATGTTCAAGCGGTTGGGTCGAGCAACCACAGAGGTGAAGAGCCGTTGGATAGTCGAGGTACAGTTCCTTCTTCCTATCAGCGTGTGGCGCGAGCACAAGCTATCATATTGCCTGTCGCCGGGACTGTCGGCCACCACCTCACCTCCCATTGCTCCTCACCCGACAACAGTACCTCGAGGGCGCTATCTGTTGATGCTCAAGCGGTTGGGGCTCAACCTGTGGCGGCACGAGCTCAAGCTATCACATTGCCAGTCGCCGGGGCCGACGGCCACACGCACCCAGCAGGCGCCCATGAAGGCGACGCGGGTGAAGACGGGCAGTCATGTCGCCTC